CGATATAGAAGCTCTGCCAATCTATAAAAGGTATCATGATTAGCATTTGTATTGTTCTTTATGCTCAGAAAAATTTGGTGCATTACACATGATCTATGGAAAGTTAGAAGAGGTCAGATACTTTTGACCGCTACTGTAACTATTCCCCAAAGATTTTCTATGGATTTAGATCTGGACTATTAAGATGACCAGTCTAAAGTTGAATGTTATTGTTTTCAAAAAAATATCGAGCAAGAGAGTTCTTATGCTTTGGATCATTGTCTTGTTGAAACCGTCAACGTCTTCCATTAACTTGCGAATCTCGGGAAGATGTACACCTGTAAACAATGTAAATGACTTAGAAAAATCACCCCAAGCGAAAAATTTTTTGTGGTCGATTAGGTCGATCTTGTATCACCGTTCCACCATATTCTGAAAAGCCCGTTTCATTGGTAAAAAGTGTATTGTTCCAGATGGGTTTTGATCGATTTTTTTCATATCCCTCATGTCTAAAAATAGTTGAGTATGAGATTGATATCCTTTTTTTTAAGATCAGTTTCCAACTTGCGCAAAGAAATGGTTGGATCCTGCCGTATTTTTTGTCCCAACCGATCTCGCAATATCATTAGTGATTTTTGTTGGCCGGCCGGTTCCTTTTTTTTCGGTTAGAGGTACCAGTTTCGTTGAGTTTTTTGAGTATTATTATATATTGTACGAATTGGAATCTTTGTTGTCTTGTGGATTTCTCTTGCAGATCTTGCAGAACGCGTTCCGTTATTCCAGAAGTGTAAAATTGTCTCACATTGTGTTTGTAGATTGAAGTTTGTCATGTTGCCGAGATTCAAAAACTAAATAAAAATAAAAAATTTTACCTCGATTTGGCGAAGATACGCGTGATCGAATTTTATGCCAAATTATTTGTAACAGACAATAACGTTGTATTTCATCATTTTGTTGTGTGGAAGAATTTATCGCAAAATAAGACCATCCGGTGTGTTTTATTCGAGACGAATCGCATGTTCCTATTTCTGTCCATATTGGACGGTTGAACATTGCGATCCAAAATTATCGAAATTTTTTTCAAGATTCTCTTGACAATGTTACCGATTTGCTGGCTATGTGGATTCACAGATTTTTGCTTGTAACGTGGATTAGAGAGGGAACTTGACTGATTATTGGTGATATCCATTGACGTAGTATTGAGGGTGTTAACAATTAATTATTACGATGCTTATTTATGCTTTTTTTGGAGATTCTAATTATGATGCCCAAAGGACCTAACTTACACAATTGTTATGAACACTTTCTTGATAAGGTTTGTACGCAAAATATTTTATTATATTTCTTATATATACATTTTGGATACATAATAAAGTGGATTTCATAGACAAACGAAGGCATTTTCATGATAAAGGGAGAGATAGAAGAATAGAGAAGATAGCATGATGACGTTTGTAAATCCAATTGAGAACATTGTGATAAAGATAGAATGACGGATTTTGTACATACAATCGACGGCATTATGTTAGAGGAAAAGATAAAAGATAAAGAAGATAGAATAATGAATAGAAATCAGGATAAGAACGGAGGATAGAATATTTGATCGTCCAATTTCCATTATGAAATTACGTTGCCTGTCTTTTATCCTTTAAAATTTCGCGTAGATAACATAAAATGCAAATCACATAAACAATATCGATATCGATATTGGATTCTGCAAATTCTACATCTGGTAGTGTCCAAGAAATTAGACTATTTCTTCCAAAAATAACTCAAATTGAAGACGACGAGCAAGAGTGATACCTTGTGTATATGTTTCAGGTTTTAAAATTACATCTAAATGTAAAAGACAATAACAATACGAAATATAAAAGTTTGATTTCTAATAAAGAATTATGTTCCCCTTAAAATTATTTCCTCAAGAGTTGACTCCGAAATTAAAGCCCTATATGGCAAACATGATCATAAAAATTCTCGAAGAAATATGCATGAAAAATCGATCAACGGTATTCATTCATGCAACGTAGTTTCCATATCTCTGAAATCTTCCTTTGCCCATAAACTTTGCCCGATTCGCTAATCCCCACTTCAACACAAAATCCCTAAGTTCAGCTGTCTTTGCATATTAGATCTAAGCACCGTTCTAGGAGTTTTTTACATGATGCGTATGGATGTGTTTTTGACCAGAGAAGAACTAGGTTTGATTTTAACCATGCGGATTCGTGTTCTAGTAGATGATCTTGTATGAAATCTAAATTTTGTTTATTAATAGTTCGTCCGCTGCTACTGGTAAATCGAGAATTGTTGGAATATCCTCATTTTCTAATGATATTGAGCCGCTATATATAGATCTACATTTCTCTTAAAAATTAACGTTGAAAAAAATATTTCATTCTGATAGTAAAAACTTTGGGCAAAATATTTGGCTTCTGGAAAATGGTCATCTGTCCTTCTGTTCTCGTCCATTCATTTTCTTTTGAATAGAACACCGAGCACGTAGAATTATCGAATGTGCATAGAAAATTTTGAAATCGCCTTCAAATTTATCACCTACCTCTATTAAGACATTATATTCTTTCTGAGTCTGCTAAAAGTTGATATATATCCGTGGAAAAGAAATTGGACATAATTTTTATGCATATTGAACTGTATATATATTTTCTTATGAAAAAAGGGGAATTACTATTGGTAGTTCCTTTATATATCGCATCATTAAATACATGTACATGAACAAGTCAAGGAGAAAGTATAGTAATGTATATTTTCTTAATAAAAAAAACTCTCGAACATTATGGTCTATATCATACACAAAAAATTTCAATTTTTTAATTGTTTTTAATCATGGATATTTGAATTGTTTTCTGTGTACGATTTCAAATGTAAAACTGTATTCGTCAGGATCGGAAATGCCCGTTTATCTTAAGTGAACCTCGTGTTCTTCCTGTTTATTGTATTTGACGAACTGTTGTGAGGGGTCGTATCAAGATTTTTGCGTTTCAAACAGCGTTTGTGGATCCATGTACGCTAAGTAGCAATATAAAACAACGTGAGATACTTTTTGGAATCAGTTACTGAACCAAATTTCAAATTTTCTAATTTGGATTCTGAATTTCATTACGTCCGATTAAAGTCAGTATAATGGTAGGTATTGGGTGAGAGACAAAATTATATGTAAAATTGCCTTCCAAACATTTTTAATTAATACAAGTAGTCTAAAACAGATTTATGTATCAGTTTTCTTGAACATGTACTATACATGTAATACATCACTTTTTTTCGCCTCATTGAGTCGGATTTATTTTCCGTGTCGATCAAAATTTATGTATTCTTATTGGTTATTGACAAAATCGAGTGTACATGACACTGAATACGGAATATGAACATGATAAAATTTCTTTCTTACATATAAAAAAAGGTTCATTTGAAGATACATATACGGATGAACTTTCTATTGCCGAAACACTTATACATGTACATGTACATTAGTGAAACAGAGATGGTTCTTATCGCAGCATTAATTTCTAATGTGGTAATGAGTTATCGGTGTTTTTAACACTGCGTCTTCTAAATATAGTTTTATCCGTAAAACAAATTGTGTGTACATGTACATATACACACGATTTGTTTTACGGATAAAAACTATATGTTTAGGTACATTCGGAATAAATCAACATGGTGAATTTCTATAAAATCCGAGCAAGCCTATTTTATAATATCAGTTTATTTCAAACATACATATACATTCATATATATATATATATTTACGTATTTCAAGTTATAAAAATGATATCTTTGGAGGACATGTCTAGTGAGTTTAATCAGCTATAGCAAATTACAAAGTATGCAGCCATGATATTTAATGCTTTAACCATTTGTATAGGTTTATCGGACGAACTAGCAGATCAAGCATCCTGTTATGGTTTGCCATATGGAATCCTTGGAATAGTCTGCTGGTCTCTGTTTTTTATTTGCATCATTTTTACACATTTGAATGTTCCTCTGTTTTCACCATGGCGTTGGTGTGATGGAGATTACCAAGCACAAACATGGGGCATGGCAATTTTTACAGCTTTTTTAACAATAGGACCAGCCGTCTATACATGCTTCCGTTGCGGTGGAACATGGATAATGCTACTTATGACACTTGCGCAACTTACTCCATGGAGTTTCAAAATAATGAATGATGGATTTAAATGTTACCAAACATCACTAATAAAATTTTATAAATGGTTTGGTTGTTGCATGACAGTTTTTCTATCGCTTGCTGGTTGGACGAGTTTAATATGTTTAACTATTGGACTATATATCACAGAAGAAATATTTATATACTGGATATATGCAATATATGTAGTGGCATTGTTAGCAATAATAATAATGATAACGGCACTTTGCAAAAGCCTGGATCAGCTTTGTCTCAATATCATGATGGCATATATTGCGTCAACTACACACTTGATAGGATTTCATGTAATATTAGCTCAAATTTCTGGTAATTGGTCTGGGATCGCCCCTGCAGGAGCTGGGCTAATATCATCAATTATTTTCTTAGTCGGAAAACGTTTGTCATTTATACAATAAACAATCTTAATTATATCAAAAATATACCCGTAACTTTTAGCAGATATTTGCAATATTTTATAGTTTCCTAGTTAAAACATTAATAAATTAACTTATTTATGTAAAATAGTCTTGACTTCTTAGGATTCTTTATGCTATAATTTAAATGCAATACTTATTATTGACAATTAGTAATTCAAAGAGTCTAATATTTAATGAGTAATGAGATCAAAGTTGAAGATGGGTTTAAATAGATAAATTTTCTTCTTTCAAATAGATAAATTTGATTCCAATTTGTATCATTATTAAATGATATTAAAAGAATGAATGAGAGTTAAAGAGTTTAAAAAATTTTATCCAAAAAATTATGATATAATCTAAATTTATTCGTAACTTTTACGTGATTATTATCGTTAATACATATCGTAAACTGTGACTGATATATCCCCCTATGATTTATAACTGTTAATTTTTGAGACTGATTTTTTATTTATACTCGGGTACTGAACATAGTACTATTCAATGATTTATACACCCTCTTTTTCCATGTACACAATTAATAAATCCATACAGAGTACCCCACTTACTTGAATATCCGGGTACTATAAATGGCATTGGAAATATCCGGATACATTGATCAGCAAGTTTACGATACTATTAAGTCTCAATTAAGTTTGTTAATTCTAAATAATACCATCTTCGCATTATAAAGTTTATTTTTGGAGTCACTTCAGTGCCAGATAAATTAGGATGATGGCGAACATCAGTGTCTAAAATTGACTTGTGGCGCTTGCGGACCGCAAACGATTTTAATTTTCCGCAACCAAAATCTGATATGCAACATGCGGATTCGCAAATAAATTTAAAATTGCGCATGTAAGATATTTAATCTATTTGCGGATTTCATTATCGAAGATCAACGGGATTTTTCAAATATTTATGAACTTACTCCGAACGCAGTATCCATATGATTTATGTAATAACGTGGTAATCTACTGAATAAATCGGATCATTTTTTTAAAAAAAAAAAAACTAAAAAACCCAGTAACTTTGATATTGATTCAACGTATCTGGTTCCCATGCTTGTTTATGTCTAAAAAAAAAAGCCTAAAGAAATTAAGTGATCTGCATGAAAATTTTTAGTTAGTGAACAATTCCAAATAATTTTGTTATCGGGAAGAATTTAAAAGGTTTGACCTAATAAAAATGATCTTGATGAGAGCTATATTTACCAGCACTAATTTGGTATTTCAGGATCTAATAACGAAATAAGTTTGGTACCAATTTAAATTTATAGATAGTTCTCATTAAGAAGCACATTTTTTATTAGGTTACTCTTTTCGATTCTTCCTGATAATAAACCTGTTTGAAATTTCACTAATTAAAAATTTTCATGTAGTTCAATTAATTTCTTTAGAAAGGCAAGATTAACATATTTTATAGGCTTATTTTAGACATTCTCTAGGTCGTTGGCTTAAAATGTTAGAGGCACTCGAATTTTTTTCGTAAAACTTTTCGTTTTTCGTTTCTTTTGCAAGTCGCTGTATGTACACATGGGCGTAAAAAGTCTTGGAATCGGGAAAATTCGAGGTAATATACAATGCTCATTAAAAGCTGAAATATTGACATAAAAAAATGACGTCAAACTCAACCAATACTTGCAAAAATTACCAACTTACGTATTTTAAGCGTAGCGAGATAATTGATGTTTAGAAGTATGGTTTCTCTGAAAAAGAAATCGAAAAACTTTAGAACGACCCAAATCTACAGTTCATAACATCATACATAAATGTAAAGAGTTTGCTGAATTACTGACGCGAGTGTCCTAAATTATTTGTATGTTCATGTAACGGTAATTTATGTGATTGTCCTAAATTATTTGTATGTACGTGTACTTTATGCGAGCTTCCTAAATTTGTATGGACCGATACATGTACATGTAGATAACAATAATGCATGTGTCGGTCATTTTTTGGCAGCGATACGATATTTTTATGTCGTGCATATATTCCGCAATAGGAATTGGGGGAGCCATATAATATATATACGATAACAAAATAAACATATATAAGAGGCATTCCTTGAGGGAAAAACAGATCCTTTAGGCAAATAAAACACTGATATGTCGATTTTATTTTTTCCTTCGTTTCCACCAAACATCGATTTAAATCAATTAATAAAACCTATGAATCGCAAACAAAAAAAGCCTCTTAAAGCTCCAAACGCGTTTATAATTTATCGAACTAATTATTGTCGCGAAATCTCGAAAATTAGAAAAATACCTCAGCCAAAAATTTCTTCCATGGCGAGTCAAGCTTGGAAGCTAGAGCGTCAATATGTTAAAGAAAAATACTATGATTTGGCCAAACAGGCTCGAGAAATTTATTTGGCTACTAAAAATCACGGTAATAACGGTAGAAGTCAACTTGAAAATGTGAACGAAGACGTGCAAGCAGCCTTCTTCGATAATCAGCCAGAAAATATGGAAGAGGATGTGCAAGCAACAATGGAAAGTGATGTCTTAATCGATAATCAAATAACAATCGAAAATTATGGCTTCATCGATAATCAGTTAGAAAATGTGTACGAGAATGTTCAAGCAACATTCGAAAATGATGCGATTCAACAAAATGGAGTTGTCGAGGAGATGGAAATTATAACTGAGGATGTTAGCAATCCACATATTGGTATCAACATTAATTCCGAGCCTATGAATATGCAAAATCGCATTGTTACTCTTGAGAACAAACTTGTCTCAATGCGGAATGAAATGATTTCAATGAGACAGGCTATCGCTATATTAGAATTGTATACCTTATTTGGAATTTAGTTATACAGCGTTCTTTATATCTCGTTTTAATTACTCGTAAATAACTACGTAAAAGAATAATTGTTGCTATCATCAGTAACCACAATACTCGCCACCATCATTTATTTATGCTTGAACATCTATTACGTGTTTTTTTTTGCTTCAGTGTCTTATTATTATGATAGTATGCATGTATGCTTATGTCTCTACTACAATAAAGATACTTCATTCATTCTGTTATCTACTAAGTATATTATCTCATTAAACCAAAGAAATTGAAGAAAACGTTATTCTTGTTGCTGCATATTTCAAATTCAGCTTTTTTGGATAATATTACATAATTAGCGAGTTGACGTGTCTAAAAGTTGTCGGTAAATTTACATACATACATACATACAATTGCCATCAAATTGAACAAAGGGATCTTATTTCATCATTTCATTGTTAGTAACATATTTCCCTGCATTTCAACATTTTCGCCTTTCACAATGTTTTGATTAGAATTTTGCGATATTCTCTTTCGTTATCTTGAACGATAAAATGTGCCACGTATTTGAAAGTAGCGTTCAATGTTCAAGTCGTCTCCAATTACCCAGTCCAATTACTCAAGAGACTTTCAGTTAACATTTTCGCTCCCTCTCCCTCCCTCCCTCCCTCCCTCCCTCCCTCCCTCCCTCCCTCTCTCTCTCTCTCTCTCTCTCTCTCTCTCTCTCTCTCTCTCTCTCTCTATCTCTTGGTTATCATCATTTCTTTTATTTCCGATTATTGAACGCAATCGATCAAAGACTTTTATAAAAATTCCCGAAATGATGTAGTACATGTACTACATGTACAATTTCCCGAAAATTTATTACCGTCACATGTAAATGTATCGATCGGGAATCTTTAAAAATTCCTGTCTATATTTTCTAGATTATTTTTTATTAACAAGTTATAAATTAACTTTTTCATATATATAATTTATAATTATTAAATATTGATTATTTCAATTTCAGTTTTATATCTACAAATTTTGCAATTATTATAAAAGATATTTTTTATAATTTCTTTGTAAAATAATTATTAATTTATAATTATAAAGAAATTTGATTAAATAAATTTAGTAATTTTATAATATTTTATAAAATATCTCTTATTTTAATATATTATTTATTAATTTAAATAACTAATTTTTACTAATATTATATTATTTTCTTTTTCAAAATTACAAAAAATTTATTTATATTTTTAAATCTTGATCTGTATACACTCATCTTTTTTTAATATATATTATAATTTTTAATAAAATCAAGATCTGAATTTTGAGATATAAATTAAGCTATTACATTTTATTATTATTTCTTTATTTTATTATTAAATTTGAAATATAATATAATATATTATTATTTTGAAAAATATAATCTTCTATATCTAATTTATATATAAATAGAAATAAATATTCTTCAATAATTATATATGTATTAGAATTAAGTATTTATTTAACTAATACTAAAGAATCTAATTTATTATTATAAAAGTATTTCTAAATTATGAATTCTAATAAATTTTTAGTAGTTTATCTTATAATTTTTAGAATTATTACTAAATAATTTAAATCTTGATTTATCACTTTAAATAATACTTTCATTTTTATATTTTAATATTTTAGTATATAGTATCATTCATATTATTTTTTTCTATTTGACTTATTAATTAAAGACTTTATTATAATTAATTTATAAAGAACTCTTCAAGTAGTTCTTGATATTATAAGATTTTTTTGTAATATTAAATTCTTAATTTATTTCTTTAATAATTTTATTTCTATTTTTTATAATTATATTAATTAATTATCTTTTGACACATTCATATAATATTTCAGATCTATCAGAATAGAATGTTAAAGTAGTTTGATCATAATTTTTGTATTTTTTATAACATCACCAATTGTGAATTTAGGATAATTCAATAGTTTGCTAATTTCTTTGTCTTTATATAAATCAACTTCTTCATTTATAAAATTACAAGTTCTGATCTTTTAGGTATTACTCAAAATAATTGGTTGAAAAACACAAAAAAAATATTTTTTTGAAAGTGTGAATCTAATAATAAAAAAAGGATGGCTGATTGCTAAAATTTCTATAAACCCGATTTTTTTAATTAAATTTTGTGAATAATTGATCAGTATTTTATAAATAAAAGGAAAAAAAATCAGTTGCACTCAATAAAAAAGTACATGTACAATAAAATTGCCAGCTGCTGATCTGCATGTTGGTGTATATTAACGAATTTACAAATTCCCAGTATAAATTCGGGATTATTGGACAGAGAAGAGCTGTTTAAAATCTATGTTAGTTAAAATCAAACCAAAATCATTATTTTTTTTCTACGCTTTGACTTTTTATTGATTTCGTATAATATACTGTTAGGATGCTATCTGAGCATTAATAAAGAATCATTAAATATATTTCCCATTTTTAATTCATTATTAAATCAATAGCAGTAATAGTAAAGGCATTTCTTTTAATTTATTAAAAACGAAATTTACATCTATATGTAAAATAGATATTTTACTAATTCAAATCGTTGATTTTTTCAATTTTAATTCAAAAAAACTAATGTTAGTCAGAAAATTTATTTTAGATAGCCTTTCAGAATTATTGGCGTTGCTTTTATTTGTGCGTTTGAACTGTTTAGAATAATTTTTATTGACTAAAGATTTTTATTACATTAAAATCAAAAATGCAAATAATTAAACCTACTTATATTACATATGCACAAGGTCAGATCTCTCTAGTCACCACTTTATGCGTATATAACCACAAATTCCAAAAATAAACTGTTTAAATTATTATCATATATACAGTGAAGCTCATTACAATAACATTTGTTACATTAATATCTCGATAAAGTAATGCATTAAACTATAACAGAATTTTCCCTATAATGAATTCATTGTTATTTATTTAATGAAATTAAAATAAACATCTTCAGATAAATTAGAAACAACATTAATATTAAAAAGTCTATAAACTATATCATAAACATCAATAAATTCCCTACTAGAAAAAACGAAAAACGCATCAAAATATAATACATCCAAGGAACACAAAAAAGTGTAACCTTAAAAAGAGTCTGACTATATAGAGATCAAAATTTCATATTTTTCATATTAACTGAGGGGAAAGGTGTGATTGTATAAGGTATTAATGTATTCTAAAGATCGTAAACTTCAAAAGAACTTCAAAGTATTATTGATGCATGTAATAATGACGATTGTAATGGGAACGATCTCAATCTGGTCATAAGCCATTTTTCATTGACTTTGATCATAAGTCATACTAAATTTATAATAAAATTGAGATCATAGGTAAAACTGAAAACTTGTGATACCAATTCCCAACAATAAACGAAATAAATTCGATAAAATTATCAAAAGTTTAAGGAAAAGGAATTTGAGCAGAAAAGTAAAATAATTTTTTAATATTGTATTTTACTAACGTTTATTAAAACAGATCCACGTAAAATTTTAATATAAAAGATCAATTTGTAACAAAAAATTCAAAACAAATGTTTATTTTGAAAAATAGCTTGTATCTTGAAATTTTGTTTATGAAACTACTTTCCTTAATCGAAATGTTATTTCTTATCTTTAAAAAAAATGTAAAAAGGCATTATTAATTCTAATTATATAAATTTTTATGTAAGATTAATATATAAATTCTCTTAAAATATCAGTTAAAGTTAATAAATATAAAAGTGATCAATTTTATTTGAATGGAAGTTATAAAATTTCTAATAATCTAATTTTATAATTGAATTACTAGTTGTATTATAAATAATATCTAATTACTTAATATCAATTTTAATGAAATGATCATTATATATATAATAAATTAATCTATAGCTTATTAATGAAAATTAATCTAAAAAATATAAATACGATCTTTCTTCCATTTAATTGCATTCTTGAAAATAGCAAAAAATATGATTTTAAAGAGATTATAACTGTATAAAAGTCAAATCTTCTATGCGTTATAATATCTAGAACCAGGAAAAGTTGTAACTATATGGAAGGTGACTGTATGGAAGGAAGACTTTATATTATTGAATAAAACAGGTATTGCTAATTCTAATTACATGTATATAAATTTTATTTTGTAAATTCTCTTAAAAATATCAGTTGAAATAATAAACACAAAATTTATCAATTTTATTCAAATGAGAATTACAGAATTTCTAGTGGACTAAATTTTATGAAAAAGATATTTTCAGAGATCTTATTCTAATATTACAAAATTTGTTGTGCCATAAATCACGTTAAATTATTGTCGATCATTTTATAGTTATCTTGTCCTTTTCGTATGGTTTATAACGCGATTTATGGTTTTGTTTCAAAAATCAAACCAAACTATATCCCAAAATTAATAGAATATGCATGGGATATGCAATTTTTTTGATTAACCCAGCAAAAATAAATCTAACACAAATAAAATGTATAAAGGTTCCTTATTTTCAGGGGTTTCCTATATACAGTATGTCAACACATTTCTAAATTCTCAGCGCAAATTTAGGTATAACTGATTACTATATCTAAAAATTTCTAATGAATTTAATTATCAATATTAGCAGCACCAACTTCCCCTCTTTTGCTATCTTCAATAAATCAGCAAGAATTTGTCTTAACGCTAAAGCTAAATTATTATCTAGTTAAGAAGTGACTCTCGTGATAACGATCTTCTCGGTTCCACTAATTGAAATTCTCAAATTGAGCGAGACTTTTATATATCTACTAATGATCGGGTATTGGGGTCATGTCATTTTTATCTAAGGTATCGCAAGTACATTATCCCAAGATTGGACAGAAATTTTTGCGTAAAAATATATTAACCTGATATGTCTAATTATATGGTATTATTTATATCCATAACATAAGAACATATTCAGAAAAACATAACTATTACTTCATAGATCATACCGTATATTATAGCCAAGGAACAAATGAATTCGATTTCAATAGAATTGAAAATTCTTGATAATTC